TCACTGAGAGTAGCACTAAAAAGAATTTAAAATGAAGTTTATTTTAAGTAAAGGCTTCCTTCCATGCTAACCTGATTTGCATTTTCCCCTTTATCAAATTTCTCGGTGAGAGTTGCATTTTATCACCTTTTAAACAATTTTTTTCCTTAATAAAATCATGGTTTTCCCACAATTCTTTGCCTGAGATTACAAATCCTGACCATTCCCCCATCACTCTATTTTTAGCCCTACCAAAAAAAAAAAAAAAAAGGAAATGTAATTTCAGCAAATAAATGTATCCAGAGACAATGGGAATGGGAATTGCAAACAGATCCATCTTCATCTTTCAGAAGAAAATGACACAAAACCCAGTTAAAATGCAGTTTAGTTGGGTTGCTGGGAAGTGGAGTCCATCATCAGTCAGGAATTATTAATATTGAGACTGGAAAAAAGAGAAACCGCTGGATTCCCATGAAATTTAAAAAGAAAAACCACAAGAAACCCATCCGAAAAATTACAAAAGCTACCTTTGACATGCATTTATTTAAGTGAAACACCAAAATTTGAATAAAACTGCTGTAATAAAACAGAATGTGAGTGGCACACACAGCACACAACCTTCCCCAAATATTGAATGTATTCCCTGCAGCTTTTCTGACACAGCAATAAGTAGGAAATGAGATCAGCTCTAAAAACCCAACCTTTATTTGCTGAGTTGCTGTTCCCCCTCTGGTTTGTCCCAAAATTTCCAGTGACATTCCCAGACACCCTCCAGCTGCCAAGCCAGCACAACTGGAGAATAAAATAATATTTAAAACTGAAACAATAAGATTTCTATTCATTTCTACTTTTTTTCTTTCTTTTTTTTCCCTCAAAACCCTAAAAAAATCAAAAATCTTAGGCAGGGATGGAGGAAAAGAGAGAAAACCCAAAGATTTCCAGAGTTGTGGCCGCAGAGCACTGAAGCACAAACTGATTTTAGTGATTTTAACAGAATTCCACACTCCTTTGGCCTGGATGGACAGAGGGAAAGAGAAGAAATCCAGACACAAATCCATGAAAAACAGCTCAGGCAGGAGTTATTTCTGCTGGCTCAAGAACTGGGTTACAGCAAAAAAAAAAAAACCACCCAAACTTTTCCTTTTAGGGGTCACAGTCTAAAAAAGCAAAATACCACACAAGGAAAGGGTTGGGAAAAAAGGATTTAAAACCAAAATGTAGCATTTGTCTTTGTTTCTATCCAGCAGAAAGTGTGCTCCCAAAAATATTAAATAATTCAAAGTAGCAGGAGCTACACCCTCCTCTCAAAATAACATTCAAAATGCAACAATGGCCATGCAGAGAGTGGTTTCAGCAGGAATTGTTGGGGAAAGGGGATGAAAACTGCCAAATGTTCCAGCCCTGAAAACCCTGGAGAAATTGAATCTCCTGGAAAAGCAGCACCAAGGCAGCCTGTGAGGAATAAATCCAATTTGTGGCTCTCATCTGGGCAGTTTTGGACACTCCCTGAGGGGCTGAAAGGGCTCAGCACTGCCTCAGCAGCAGGAAAAAACAAACAAAATATTAATTTAAGCCACAATCAAAATATTGATTTAAGCTAATATTGATTTTGATCCACAGCACTGTGGATCCCTATAATTATGTTTTTAATAGGGAATAGCAGTGGTTTTGACAACCTGCAGTAGAATATATATTTTTTTATATTTTTTTAATATATATTTATTTTATATATATATTATACACATAGAAAGATATATAACATAATATATATATTTATGTTATATTATATATCTTTCTATGTGTATAATATATATATAGCTATGTATAGATATAATATAGAATATGCAGAATATATAGAATATATATAGAATTATATATAGAATATATATCTCTATATAGAATACATAGTAGAATATATATAGATATATCTATAGAATATATATCTATTATATATAATAGAATATCTATCTATAGATATAGAAGATATATATTATATATATTTCTAGATATATAAATTGAAAATATATATCTCTATGTGTATATATAATATAGAATACATAGAATATATAGAGAATATATATAGAATTATATATTTAATTTATCTCTCTATACAGAATACATAGTAGAATATATATATAATATAGATATATCTATAAAATATATAAAGAATATTGATATATAATATATATTAGAATATATATATAAATAAATATAAAAATATAGTTTGTATTCTATATATTTCTATTTGTATTTATATTTATATAAAATACAGTAGACTGAAGTATAAGCTGTTTTTTCTGGACTCCTCACCACACCAAGACAACTTTTTTTTTGGCATTTTACTATGACAGAGAAGGTAAAAAAATGTAACAATGAGGAGAAGCACTGGTCCTAGAAATTTAAAAAAAATTAAAATAAAAGGCAGAAAAAATAGGAAAACTTCTTTTTCCTGAAAGCAGCCATTTCATGTATTCCCCTCTGCAATCTCTGCAAGTGACTCCTGTCTTATCCCACTGGGATTTCAGGTTATTCCAGGTGTTTACTGTCTTATCCCACTGGGATTTCAGGGTATTCCAAGTGTTTGCTCCACTCTTTTCCCTCAGAAAGCATCACTGAGGCAGAGGAAGGGCAAACTGAGGCAGCAAGGGGAGACCCACAGAAAAAGGGGATCAGGAAGGGCCCGACATTTTCCAGCTGTTTGGGTTGAGGCTGGAATCTGAGCAGGTCACCTGAGAGCCCCCCTTGGGAACCCTCTTGGTGCTCAGGAAAAGTTTCACAGAATCCCAGAATGACCAGGTTGGAAGAGACCTTCAAAATCAACCCAGCCCCAACAGCTCAACCAAACCCTGGCACCCAGTGCCACATCCAGGCTTTGTTAAACACACCCAGGCATGGGGACTCCAGAACTTTCTCACTCTTTCTGTAAAAAACTTTTTCCTGCTATCCAGCCTGTGGTGGTTCCAATTGTGGGTTTCTCTGGGTCTGGATTGAAGGCACTTGAGACAGTAGTTCATGTTCACACTCAGGTGTTTATTATTTCTTATCAGTAAAACAGCCTCACTGCTGGGAGTTCAGCAGCTTTTCATTAGAAGGCACAAAATGGCCACAATCTCTTGTTCCAAGGCCTTTTCAGACTAAACTGTCCAATTCAGAGCTGACACCTGGATTATTTTCCCTTTGAACCCAATCACTGATCCCACAGAGCTGCAATGGGGACTTTTCTGCCCAATTCCAAAATGCCACCCAAACCCATGGAGAAGGAGGAAGAAGAAGCATGGAGCAGAAACCCAGGATGACACCCTGTGCCCTCCATCTTGCTGCCATCCACAACACACTAAAAACCCCAAAACCTCAATTTCTCACCCAGTGACACACCTGCACTGCTCTCTATAATCTATTTCACACTTTTGTGGGTTCCAGTCTATCTTGAAGTCTGGGGAACTTTCTCCATGAACGAGGGTCAGAGTCAGTGCTGCCCTGGGGGTCAGGGCAGCCCAGAGCAGACACAGAAACATTCCCAGTGCTCTGGGTTTCCACACCAACCTAAACCTGCCCTGGTGCAGCTCGAGGCTGTGTGCTCTGGTTGTGTCAGTGCTGCTGCAGAAAGAGCCCAGGGCCAGCTGAGCACAGGCACCTTTCAGGAGCTGCAGAGAGTGATGGGGGCAGCCCTGAGTCTCCTTTGCTCCAGGCTGAGCACCCCCAGCTCCCTCAGGGCTTCCTCACAGGGTTTGTGTTCCCAGCCCCTCTGCAGCCTCCTTGTCCCCTCTGGATGTGCTCAGTGTCCCCAGGTCCTTCCCAAGCTGAGGGCCCAGAGCTGGGCACAGCACTCCAGGTGTGACCCCAGCAGTGCCCAGGGCAGGGCCAGAGTGACCTCCCTGCTCCTGCTGGCCACACCATTCCTGAGCCAGGCCAGGAGCCATTGGCCTTCTTGGCCACCAGGGCACTCTGCTGGCTCCTGTCCACCCTGCTGCCCATCAGGTCCCTTTGTGCCTGGGCACTGTCCAACCACACCAGTGTCCCCAGCCTAGAGCACTGAAGGGAGTTATCGTGGCCAAAATGCAGGACTGGGCACTTGGATTTATTAAACTTTATCTTACTGGACTCTGCTCATCCATCCAAGCATTCCAGGTCTCCCTGCAGAGCCCTTCTCCCTTCCAATTTCCTCACTGGAAAGGTCAAACCCTGAACGGGCTGCCAAGGGAAGTGGTGGAGTCACCATCCCTGAAAGTGGCCAAAAACTGGGTGGATGTGGCACTTGGGGATGTGGATTAGTGGTGGATGTGGAAGTGCTGGTAATGATTGGAGTTGATGATCCAAGCCTTAATAATTCCATGGCTCTCAGAGAGGCAAAATCCCTGCAAAATCAACTCTTGCACCCTCCAGCCCCAAATTCACCTGGTTGCAATCATTAAAGGTGGAGAAGACTGTGAGGGAGAATAAAAAAATTCAAGGATAACATGGATTGGGTTATGCTCCATCCATCCCCTCCATTTCTACCTCATTTTTTTTGTTTTCCAGAATCAAACACCTCTTCACCCCAGCACCACCTTCTCATGTCTAACCTTGTGTCACCTGCAGCTGCTGGCAGCAACAAAAGCCTTTCAAACACTGTGAAGAACAAAAGAAATGTGTGTCTGAGGCAGAAAAGATGCAGGGCTTCCCCAAACAGAGGAGTTTATTCAGTGTTTGTTCAGGCTCTGCTCACCCCAGGACAATAAAACCATTCTGAGCAGCCTTTGCACAATGGGGGGCAGAGAGGAAAAGCTGCTTCAGGCCGAGCTGAGCAGCACAGCCTCATCTCTGTGGCCACTCAAGGGTCCAATTTCATTTATTTTCCCAATTTCTGACACCAATCCCACACCTGACCAACAGGCTAAGGCATGGTTCTTGTGAGCAAGCAACCTGAAAATGCATTTATTCTGTTGCATGTCTTCACACCAAGCAAACAAAAGGCATCTTCTCTTTCAGATGAGTCCCATTTAAATCAGAGGTCATAATTAATGAGATATTCCACAGCATCATTTTACAGCAACCATAGAATTTTAATCAATATAAGCATTTTTTTTACAGACAAATTCCATTCACAGTAACACTAAAACAGAGGCAGAATGTGATTTGGGACGGGTTTTGTTACAAATATTCATGCAAAGGCTTTTTTGGTTTTGTTTTAGACTAAATAGGATCTCACCTGGGCAGCTCTCTCATTGTGTAATGGATTGATTACAATACAAAAATAAAAAGGGTTCCTATAAATCACTGCAGGTTTACAAGGCCAGGAGGCACAGAGCTGGTTGGCTTTGGAATAAAAGAGGAATATGATAATAAGAGGAATATGTTGCAAGAAGAAAAATTGGAGAAGCAGAGGGGTGTTGGCAGCCAGAAAAAATGAAGCAAAGAAATGCCCAGGCATTGGGCTGCTCTGAAAACCCTGGGGTGGTGGATGGAGAAAACCCCAGCTGCAGGTGGCAGCAGGGACAGGGTGAAGGGCACAGAAAGAGCCAGAACATGGTGAAAATCCCTCCTCAGCAAGGCCAGGCCAAGCCAGCACATGTGGCATTGAAAACATCCCTTTCCTCTCCTAAAAAAATGGTTTGAGTGAAGGGAGTCACAGGAACTGCTCCCTCCACTGGCACCAAAGCAGGAGACAGGACAGGAGGTTTGAGACCTTTTAACCTCAGCTGGGATGAGTTAAAATCAAGGTTTGACATGTGAAGCACAAGGTGTTCCTTCCAGTGGTGGGAAGAAACACCAGCCCCATCAGCAAGTTGAAGAAGCTCAATGCAAGAAACAATTTGCAGCAAAAAAACTTCAGCCTGAGAATACATCTTAATAAGAGCAGCATGATCTCCACTCAAAAAACCCCAACAGAATTATAATACCTCAGAATGGTTATTGTGAACCAATAAAATTATAATATCTCAGAATGGTTATTGTGAACCAATAAAATTATAGTATCTCAGAATGGTTATTGTGAACCAATAGAATTATAGTATCTCAGAATGGTTATTGTGAACCAATAAAATTATAATACCTCAGAATGGTAATTCTGAACTGAAAAATCAGTGCATGGACCAGGGAAAGTCCTGATCCCATTGCTTGGGAGAGCACAGTCTGAGGGAGTGAGTGTCAGCCTGGAGACCCATCCAGAGTCCAACCCAACAACGCAGGGCACCCCCTAAATACAGAGGGTCCCAACAAGTCATGGCACCCCTAAAAAAGTGGGGATTAGCCTTAGGAAAAACTGCAATTCCCTGGATTTTTCTCTCCACAGCAGATCCAACCCAGTGATCTGCCACAGCTTTGGGTTCCTGCTGTGAGGAATCCTGCAAGCCCCTCCCCACAGAACAGCAGCATTCCCAAATTCCCCATCCAACCCACCCCAACCTCTCCCTGAGCTGCTCCCTCGCCTACTTAGCAGCCCCTTTCGGCCACCACTCGGGCGTGGTGGCCCTGAGCTCCAGCCTGTGCCCTGCCAGGGGGATGCAGAGCGGCTCCTGGAGGTGAGCCAGCCTCAGCAGGGCTATGCCCAGCTCTCCTCCTCCAGCACGGAACTTTCCAGCACGTTTCCCCGCCTGGGTGAGGATGTCAGCGCCCTCGGGGATGCCGGCAGGGGGAAGGGGCCCCGGGAAGGTGACGGGCAGCAGGCGCTTGCGGATCACGCCCATGTGGTGGGTCCTGGCCGTCAGCTCCTGGCCGATGTAGCAGCCCTTGGTGAAGCTGATGCCGTTCATGAAGGCCAGGTTGGATTCCAGGGGCAGGGCGACTCCAGGGGGGAGATCTTTCACCCCTTCAGGGATTCCTAGGGGAGAGCAAAGGCAGGAGATTGGTGCCTTGAGAAGGGTGATCTAGAACAGAGGCAAGACTGAGCTAGAATAGTATTGTTAAGAACGCCAAGCACTTGTTTCCAAAATTTTAAAAGTTTAATAGTAATAAAATGGTTATTAAAATAGTAATACAATTAGAGTAATAATAATTTGGACAAACTGAATTAGGACAATATGAGACAATAAAGACAAAGAGTTACGGACCTCTGGGTACCTTTTTCTGGGCAGCACGAGCCCGAGAAAGGACCCAGGTTAACAAAGGATTAACCCTTAAAAACAACAGCCTGTTGCATATTCATACACCTCATACATGATGCATAAATTCCATTCAAACACAGGATTCTGTCAGGGCAGTGTCAACTTCTTCCTCCAAATCCTAACAGCGCCTTCGAGGCAGGAAGAAGTTCCTTTCTTCTGATAATGGGGCCATAAATTCTTCTTCTCTGAAAAATTTAGGTGTCCTGTGGCGGCTATCTCGCTGTGAGTCCCTTCTTTTTAAAAAAAGTATCCTACATAGCATAGTTTCTATTTAACCTTATGTTATATTATATTATGTTATATATAATATGTTATATTATGTTATATATATATATATATATATTATTATATTATGTTATATTTGCAAAAAGCCAATCATAAAATACATGCGTTTTTCACAGTATGGCAATGTGCCCCTGTTGATGGAGTGACAAAACTATCCTTTGTCCCCTTAAAAAGGAAATAAACCCAGAAGTTTAGTATGGAGGGGGTGAAAAATGTGTATTTTATGATTGGCTTTTCACAAATACTAAAATGAATATTATATGTGGTGTGTTAGAAAGTAATGCTGTATTAATTCTCTTAAGTAGTGTGTTAAAACCTAAATATAGTTTTAGGTTATAACATAAGGTTAAAATAGAAACTGTGCTATGTAGGATACTTTTTTTAAAGAAAGGATTCACAGCAAGATAGCAGCCACAGGACACCTGAATCTTTCAGAGAAAGAGAATTTATTGCCCCATTATCAGAAGAAATGAACTTCTCCTGCCTTGAAGGCACTGTTAGGATTAAGAAGTTGAGATGACCAGACAGAATCCTGTGTCTGAATGGAATTTATGCATCATGTATGAGATGTATGAATATGCAACAGGTTATTGTTTTTAAGGGTTAATCCTTTGTTAACCTGGGTCCTTTTTCAGGCTTATTTTGCCCAGAAAAAGGTACCTGGACATCTGTAACTCTTTGTTTCTATTGTCTCATATTATCCTAATTCAATTTGTCCAAATTATTATTACTCTAATTGTATTACTATTTTTTTATAACCATTTTATTACTATTAAACTTTTGAAATTTTAAAAACAAGTGGTTGGCGTTTTTCACAGAGGGGCTTGACAGCTGGGCTGCAAGCAAAGCTGAGTTACTAAAATAAATAACAATTGAAGATTTTTGAGTGTATCCATAGCAAGGAAGAAGACAAGGCTGTCAGCATGGAAACAGAAAAAATACATGACAATTTTTGTAAGCTAGACTATGTGCATAAGTAGCTGTGTATACATGCCTTAATAAATTTCTGTAAAACTTTTGCCAATTATATTGATGTTAATTGCTTTGCCCCAATGACTATAATAAGTTATTGTGATGTAGTTAATGACTTAAGTGTTACAGACATCTTTTATGAAAAATCCTTTTGCTAGGATTTTTCCTCCTGAGAAGCTGAGAGGCCTCAGGAACAAAATGCAAACAATGGTTATCTGCTGCTGTGGAATGCAACAGGTGCATCTGGGATTGGTCTTATGTCGTTGTTTCTAATTAATGGCCAATCACAGCCCAGCTGGCTCAGACAGAGAGTCCAAGCCACAAACCTTTGTTATCATTCTTTTTCTATTCTTAGCCAGCCTTCTGATGAAATCCTTTCTTCTATTCTTTTAGTATAGTTTTAATATAATATATATCATAAAATAATAAATCAGCCTTCTGAAACATGGAGTCAGATCCTCATCTCTTCCCTCATCCTTGGAACCCTGTGAACACGGTCACATTGCATGAATGAATATAATAAATTATTGTGATGTAGTTAATGATTTAAGTGTCACAGACATATTTTATGAAAAATCCCTTTGCTAGGATTTTTCTCCTGAGAAGCTGAGAGGCCTCAGAGGAAAAGAAAAACAATAATTATCTGCTGCTGTGGAATGCAAAAGGTGCATCTTTGATTGGTCTCGTGTGGTTGTTTCTAATTAATGGCCAATCACAGTCCAGCTGTCCCAGACTCTCTGGTCAGTCACAAGATTTTATTATCATTCCATTCCTTTCTATTCCTTGTTAGCCCTCTGATGAAATCCTTTCTTCTATTCTTTTAGTAGAGTTTTCTTTTAATATAATATCTATCATAAAATAATAAATCGGCCTTCTGAAACATCAAAATCAAAGGCACTGGGGCTCCCAGGACTGAGATCCCTGTCCAGTATCTCTGACCTTGGAATTAGGTCAGCAAATCCAGCCACAAAGTTTTTGGAAGCCAAGTCTGGGTGTTTCCTTTTCCTTCCTCAGCAACAAGCAAATGCCTGGGCTGTGCATCATCCCAAAATAATCAAAATTACTCCAACCACAGAAGCTTCTCTCTAAGAAAATGAATAATCCTGGCTTTCTTTTAGCATTTCTGACCAGTCCCCATAATCTGAGTAAGAGAAAATTACACCCCAACATTGCTACCAGACAGAATTAGAACCACCAGCACCCTTTAATACTCAAAGTAGCAATTAATACATGTATTAATGAACAAATTAAATGCACTAAAACATGAGAATGAAGGGTTTATAACTTATTACTGCCTTAAATCAGCATGTGGACTCCCAAAACCCAAAGTGCAAACCAGGGCTTGCCTTTACCTTGTTTATACCTGTGCCTGTGGTAATCCTGCACGTCTCCAACTTGGCTCCCAGGGATAATCTCTGACAGATTTGCTCCTTTCTTTGCAATCAGTCTCCAGCCCATGACTTCTGCCCTGGGGTCAGGGGTGAGGAGCAGAGCCTGGTCTGCACATTTTGGGAGGGAGCTGGTGTCCCCAGGGATGACAGCCCACAGGGAGAGGTCGGGGCAGGGGGTGATGGTGACTTTCCTGCGGATCTTGTAGAGCTTCAGGTGTTGCTGGATGGAGTCCAGGACGCTGCTGTCGCACTCCAGCAGGATGTGAGGCTCCTCTGCTGTGCTCCTGTGGAGCCTAAAAAAAAATATCACACCCACAAGGTCAGGAAAACAAACCCCCACAGCAGCAGGAGGCAAAGATGGGTATTCATTTGGATCCTGGTGCCAATCCACAAATCCACACAGGGATTTCTGGATTTGCACAGAAATTTCTGTTGGGAGATTTCTGGATGGCACAGAAGGAGCAGCACCCAGGTGCCCACAGTGAAATATCTGAGCTGTTTCAGCCACCTGCTGTGGCTTCCCTAGTAAACACTGCCCTCACTTCTCCCAGGGGCAGAAACAGGTCTGCCCATGTGGAATTCTCTATTCTTACCTCCAGTGAAGGGAATTTCACAGAATCACAGAATAATGAGGTTGGAAGAGACCTCCAAGATCATCGAGCCCAACCCATGCCCTAACACCTCAGCCAGACTATAGCACCCAGTGCCATGGCCAGTCTTTTGTTAAACACACCCAGACATGGTGATTCTACCACCTCCCTGGGAAGACCATTCCAGTACTTTATTATTCTTTAGGTGAAATTTTTTTCCTAATATCCAACCTGTACCTTTCCTGGCGTAGCTGGAGGCTGCGTCCTCTGGTTCTGTCAGAGACCAGCCCCACCTGTCTGCAGCCTCCCTGCAGGAGTTGTAGAGAGCAATAAGGGCACCTCTGAGCCCCCTCTTCTCCAGGCTGAGCACCCCCAGCTCCTTCAAACATTCCTCACAGGGTTTGTGTTCCCAGCCCCTCTCCAGCCTCGTTGCCTCCTCTGGATGCGCCTGAGCATCTCAACATCCTTCCCAAACTGAGGGGCCAGAGCTGGGCACAGATGGTGGAGAAGCTTCATTCTGCTGTGCCTTCCACTGTCACACAACCCCAGGATGGTTTGGGTTGGGAGGGACCTTAAAGCCCATCCAGTTCCAACCCCAACACCTCCCACTGTCCCAGGCTGCTCAAAGCCCCATCCAGCCGGGCCTTGGGCACTTCCAGGGATCCAGGGGCAGCCTCAGCTGCTCTGGGCACCCTGTGCCAGGGCCTCAGCACCCTCAGAGGGAAGAATTCCTTCCCAAAATCCCATCCGTGCCTCTGGAAGGGCTCTGAGGTCTCCCTGGATCCTTCTCCTGTTCAGGTGAACATAGCCTGGCTCCAGAGCAGAGCCAACCTCCACACGTGCGGATATCGCACCCATCACACTTCTCTGCTGCGGTGTTCCAGAGAAGCTGCATTGAGTGATGGCACAGACCCACGGAGGAAGCGCTTTTTCGCACATTAATTTTGACTTTTTGACATTTGAGCCGGAAATGTCAGGAGCCACCCCCCGCCACCCCGCAATGGTCTCTTCTATCTCCTCCCCCTCCCCCCCCCGGCCGCGCCGCTTGGTCTCACCTGTACAGGATGACGTCATACAGGCAGCGGCCTTGCACGTTCAGCGCGTGCGCATAGAGGGCGGAGGGGGCGTCGCCTTCCGCTACCAGCTGCGTGACGTCATTGGTGAGCAGCCCCTGCAGGAAGGCGGCGGCCTCGGCGCCCCTCACGCCCAGCAGCGCCCGGCCCAGCGGGAAACAGGCGGCGGCCGCGCCCCGCTGGCTCCGGCACCACCGACGCAGCCCGGGCGCCGTTATTGCCCTCACCAACATGGCGGCGCCGTCACAGAGTCCCCCCACGGCCGCCGCCCGCCGCCGCCATCTTGTGTGTGTCCGCCGGGAGGGCGACACCTGCTGGAGGGACCGGGGCGCCACGAGACCGCCCCCTTTCCGTTAGCCACGCCCCCTTCCACTACAGACCACGCCCCGCCAATAGGCTCAGCCGCCGAGCTGGCCACGCCCACACATTCATGACCACGCCCCCTCGTTTGGTCACGCCCCCGGTGCCGAGCGGCGCCGGGCGCTCCTCGAGATCCCAAAGGAGGAATTTGAGAACCCCCCCGGGATCCCCGGCCATGGAATAGCGAGGGGACAGCCCAGAGCGCTCCCCTCGATCCCAAAGCAGGAATTTGGGAACCCCCCGGGGTCCCCGGCCATGGAACAGCTGGGGCACAGCCCAGAGCGCTCCCACATCCCACGGTTCCCGTCGGGGGCTGCCCAGCCCAGCTCTCCGTGTTATAGATGGATAATGAGATGATTGGCTCTCGCAATTAAAAAATAACTATTGGGTGAATATTAAGAAAAGCTTTAGTGAAATGTCCTCTGTGTTCTCCCCATAGTTCCCTTTCCCCCCCTGTACTGTTGCCATCAGACAGCCTGGGTTGTCCAGGACAGGTTCAAAGAAGCTGCACAGGTGTCCCTTGCATGGGGCAGCTGGGAATGGAAAAGCTTGGGGGTGCTTAGGGGGTGAGGCATGGCAACACCTGAGCTCCAATCCAGTTAAAGAAGAGCTGACAGGCTTTGGGAAGGGCCAGGGCTGGCTGATGCAACCCCCAGGGGTATAAAACACTGAGCATCCAGCTTGAAGATGAACTGGCCATGTGGTGTTCATGAGGGGCAGCTCCCAGCGCTGCAGCTTTTTCCTTGTGTAGTCCTTGGTTGTATTTTTGTTAAGGTTTAATAAACCTCTTTAAGTTTGCAAAGTGAGCAGTTGTGTCTCACATCCCTGTCCCGGCTGCTCCACATTTAATTGGAGAATCAGCCAGGCTGGAAAGGACCTCTGGGATCATTGAGTCCAGCCATGCCACCCAGAGCATGGCATGTCCAGTCATTCCTTAGCACCTCCATTCCTGCCCCTAAAATTCAAACAGAAAGGGCACTGAGCCATTCTCCCCCTCCAGGTTTGGCTGTTAGGGTGGAAAGGACCCCAAAGGTCCCTTTTTTCTACTGGTTTGTTTCCACAGAACTCCCCAGCTGCCCTCCATCCTCTTTCAACACCCTTGGAGAAACTGTCAGTGGAGTAAATTATAATGTTTCCTCGTGGGAATTTCTGCTAAGTATTGCATGGGAATAAAACCATGGAATCATGGAGTGGCTGTAAAGGTCATTAAGTCCAACACCCTGCAAGGAGCAGGGGCATGTTCAGTCCATCATGGGCATGTTCAACCCATCAGGGGTATCTTCAATCCTCTGGGGTCATCGAGTCCAGCCATGCCACCCAGAGCATGGCATGTCCAGTCATTCCTTAGCACCTCCATTCCTGCCCCTAAAATTCAAACAGAAAGGGCACTGAGCCATTCTCCCCCTCCAGGTTTGGCTGTCAGGGTGGAAAAGACCCCAAAGGTCCCTTTTTTCTACTGGTTTGTTTCCACAGAACTTGCCAGCTGCCCTCCATCCTCTTTTAACACCCTTGGAGAAACTGTCAGTGGTACCAGATTGGAGTAAATTAAACATTTGTAATAACAGAGTAAATGATAATGTTTGGCAGTGTATAACACTTGGCAATTATAAAAGCTGACAGTTTAGCAGGAATTTCTGCTAAGCATTTCATGGGAATAAAACCATGGAATCATGGAATTTAAGGTCATTAGGTCCAACACCCTGCAAGGAGCAGGGCCATGTTCAGTCCATCAGGGCCATGTCCAATCCATCAGGGATGTGGAAAATGTGTATTTTATGATTGGCTTTCCTCAAATATTAAAATGAATATGATATATGTTATGTTAGAAAGTTATGCTGTATTAATTTTCTTAAGTAGTGTGTTAAATATAGTTTTAGGTATAACAAAATGTTAAAATAGAAACTATGCTATGTAGGATACTTTTTAAAGAAAGGACTTGCAGCGAGATAGCAGCCCCAGGACACCTGAATCTTTCAGAGAAAGAGAATTTATTGCTCCATTATCAGTAGAAATGAACTTCTTCCCACCTTGCTCAGCCATGAAGACACAGTTAGGATTCAGAGGAAGAAGTTGACACTGCCCTGACAGAATCCTGTGTTTGAATGGAATTTATGCATCATGGATGAGGTGTATGAATATGCAACAGGTTATTGTTTTTAAGGGTTAATCCTCTGTTAACCTGGGTCCTTTTTCAGGCTTATTTTGCCTGGACATCTGTAACTCTTTGTTTCTATTGTCTCATATTGTCCTAATCCAAATTGTCCAAATTATCATTACTCTAATTACATTGCTATTTTTATAACCATTCTATTATCATTAAACCTTTTAAAATTTTAAAATCAAGTGTTTGGCGTTTTGCACGGGGGCATGTTCAATCCATCAGGAGCACATTCAATCCATCAGGGACAGGTTCAATCCATCAGGGACAGGTTCAATCCATCAGGAGCATGTCCAATCCATCAGGAGCACATTCAATCCATCAAGGACATGTCCAATCCATGAGGGACAGGTTCAACCCATCAGGAGCATGTCCAATCCATCAGGGACAGGTTCAATCCATCAGGGACAGGTTCACTCCATCAGGGACAGGTTCAGTCCATCAGGGACAGGTTCAATCCATCAGGGACAGGTTCAATCCATCAGGGACAGGTTCAATCCATCAGGGACAGGTTCAGTCCATCAGGGACAGGTTCAATCCATCAGGGACAGGTTCAGTCCATCAGGGACAGGTTCAACCCATCAGGAGCATGTCCAATCCATCAGGGACAGGTTCAATCCATCAGGGACAGGTTCAATCCATCAGGGACACGTCCAATCCATCAGGGACAGGTTCACTCCATCAGGGACAGGTTCAACCCATCAGGGACAGGTTCAATCCATCAGGGACAGGTTCAGTCCATCAGGGACAGGTTCACTCCATCAGGAGCATGTCCAGTCCATCAGGGACAGGTTCAGTCCATCAGGGACAGGTTCAACCCATCAGGAGCATGTCCAATCCATCAGGGACGGGTTCACTCCCTCAGGGACAAGTTCAATCCATCAGGTTGCTCACCCCAAACTGATCTTGAATATTTCCCAGCATGGGGAATCCCTGTGTTAAACCCTCCCAGTTAAACCATGGAGCTGGTGTTGTTTCCCTCTGTTTTTCCAGTGGCTGCTGCTTGGTTTGAGCCCATCCTGCCCCTTCCCTCTGCCACCACCAGCAGCTCTCTGGGCAGGGGGAGTCTCCTGGCCCCAATGACCTCACTAAAACCTCCAGGACAGGCAGCACCAGCACAAACCCACCCTGAATGAAGGGAGGCTCATTTTCCAGGAGCTGCAAATGTGCTGAGTTGATGCAGGGCTGGGCTGTCCCCTTGTGCCCCACAGTGATAACCTTATCACACATCCCCCAGTGTGTCCTGGCAGCACTGAGACATGTGGGGGTGTTCACCCTGGAGTCCATTCCCACTGGAATTTGGGGCTGGAGAAATAAAGGTGTTGGCAGAGGTGACCTTGGCACATGTTTGTGCTCTGCCCACCTGCTGGCACCAGCTGTGTGTCCAAAACGGGGCTGGACAGACCTGCCTGGCTCTGGGGCAGCTGGAGGAGCAGAGAGCTCTGGCCCAGGGTGGTTCTTTGCTCCCCCTGGAAGTGGAAATGTGCCCAGAGCAGGAGCTGGGTTTGCTTTTTGAAGGAGAAGGGGGGAAAGTCACAAACCTGGAAGCACAGCTGGGCTGGACTCCAGAGTCCAACAGGCACCATGGAGCCACATTTGTGGGTTTTTTACCTGTTCCACATCCCTCCTCCACCCAGGCCTTTATTTTATATTCTTTTAAGATCTTTTGAAGGTGAGAGTTCTAAGGGGATATATTGTTATTTTTGCTATGGTTATATATATTGTTGTTATATATTGCTATCTTTTGAAGAGCTAAGCTTACATTTTATCTGGGGCAGGAAAACCTTATAGAAATACCACTACACCAAGCTGTGGGGATGGTCAGTGTCCATCCCACAGGCAGCCCTTTGCCAGCTCCCTGCATTCCCAACCACCACAGGTGTGCTGTATCAAACCCCACAGAGACATCTGAAAGGGCAGCAAGGAGAATAAAAGTGAAAATGGAAAACAATCAGGCAGCCAGTTTGAGCCTTTATTTGTTTTACCACTTCCTACTGCTTCTATTCCTTCCCCTCTGGGTTTGCCTTTCTTTTCTCATGGAGTTATTCAGTTATTACATAAAAAAATGCATGGAGTTATTACATGCAAAAATGCATGTTTGAGTCCAGAATTTAGTGGCTAATAAAGTCATATTGAAAAATTTCAGTGTCAGGAACTACAGCCCTGCCAGTTTGGTGCATTAAATGAGCTCAGGGCATGGTTTGAGACGATCCATGGTGTAACTGAGAGCCCTGGGAAGGTTTGTGGCAGCCCTCAGTGGGTGTGTGCCTGTCTTCACTCAGAATGGGGGGCCTGAAGCCTGGGGGGAGGGACAACACA